CTTGCCTAAGAAACAGCTCTCTGATTGGCTTTCTCCTTTTCCATTTTAATATTACTTTAAAAAAACGTTCAGGCAACTAGCATAGTCCAAGGGTTGGCTTTGGAGACGGAGCCAGCCCACGGGCATCCTCACCTTTCCCTTGACCGTTACTCGCACGTAAGTTGGCTGCACGTCAACACTGATCAGAGAGGTATCCATGTACCTTGAAAATTCAACACATGAAACACACTCAGTCTTGTGAGTTTCCAAGAACATTAAGTTTGCAAACAAATTTACAAATACAAACCCTCACTTAGGGGACCCCTTTAAATGGAGAGAGTTTAAAGTGTCCATGCTAAACAGGCCTTAAAAAATTAGCTTTGAGTTAATCCTCAGACCAAAGGAAATGCAACGTATCAGCAATTCGTTTTTAGGCCCATGTGTACACTTGGCATTGACTGCCCCTAACCCAAAAGTATCAGAGGTCTGAAACGTCAGAGGCCTGCAAAAACCAGCCTGCCATGGTCTTTCGTGAATATTTTATTTTAAGCCCCTAAGACTGACATGAATAGCGAGGGATGCTGACTGCACTCTGCTAGGGGCCTGCAACCCCGGCCCCACTTCCTTAGCTGCTCTGCATCCCTGGCATTGCCCTGCAGCTGTCCCCATAGCATCTCCCCCATGGGCTTTGCTTCCCTGGAAGGCACAGCCTGCTGAGTGAGCAGAGTCTATGGCAGAGATCCCGGGATCGGCTGGCAATTATTCTCCTTGACTTTCTGGGCAAATGGAAGATGTAGATTTCACCTCTCCTTTAGCCAAACACTATAGTTATACATTGTTTTTTAAAAAAAAAATTTCAGAGAAGAAGGGAGAGAAACATCAATGATGAGAGAGAATCATTGCTCTGCTGCCTCCTGCACGTCCCCTACTGGGGATCAAGCCCGCAACCCAGGCATGTGTCCTGACTGGGAATCGAACCGTGACCTTCTGGTTCATATCATAGGTTAACACTCAACCACTGAGCCACACCGGCCGGGCTACTTATATATTTTAAAATACTGATTGTGAGTAGTAGAAAATCCAGTGATGATTCAAAAATAAGACACATTCAGGCAGGTGGGGAACCCCGGGGTTACAGGCACAGGCTTCAGTCACACACACCTGTGAGGGAGGGCTCCCCGCCTTCCTGTGTTAGTACCTGGGACCATGTTCCTTCACCTCTCTAATCCTCAGCCTCCTCATCTGTAAAAATCAAGATAAAAATAGTGCCTATTCCCTAAGAAAGCTATGAAGATACATGCGTGTTGCCTAGTACACAGTTAGTGTTTATAAAACGTCATTTTATTTTTACAAAATCCTGGTACTAAAAGGTAGAGTCAAGGTCTCCTAAAACTTCGGGTTCAATACCTGCCACATGAGCGGATGGCATATTCTTTCTCATGCTTAGGGCCTCGGAAGGTGTGTCCACCTGGCCCGACCGGCAAGGTCTTTGCATATGCTGCTTTTCTCTGCCTCAAGCACCTGTTTTTCCTGCCTGTTCTATGCCGACCTCACTGCTTCCCATCCCTGGATTTTCAGTGCTCAGATCGCTGGCTTTCCCTCACTCTCTGAAAATGTACCCCCTCCTGGGTAACTCCAGGGTAATAAGCCCTCCTGGTTCACCGGGATGAGAGACCGAATAAAAGAGAGCAAATAAAAAAGTCCTTAAAAAGAGGAAGACCTGTATTATAATTCATGTGTACAAATGTTGGCTCCCATCACCAGCATCCATTCATTCATTCATTCATTCATTCCTGTACTTATTGAATTCCCACCAGGCACCAGGCACTGTTTTAGGTGCTGGAGACATAAGAAGGGGGAAGCAAGCAAACAAAACAAAGGTCTTGCCTTGACCATAGATTTTTAAAAACACAAGTAAATTTATAGTTTGTCAGGTAGCAATCAAAGTGTGGGGGGGAGGGGTAGAGAGAAGTGCTGGGAGAGGAGTGGGTACTGTTTTATATCAAACCAAGTTTCATTTCAAAATGTGTCACAACTCAAGAGATCGCAACTGAGAATGAAACAGGTGGAAGTGATGTTAAATAAACACACAATAAAATGTCTTTACCTGTACACAGCCAGGTCCAGGATGATCTGGTTGCGTTTCTCATCATCTTTCAAAGAGAAGTCAAGTCTAAGGAATAACCCATTTTGGGAAGAAGGAGGAGGAAAAAAAGATAATGTCTTTAGCAATACTTTATAGGTAGCTTCGTCCCATTACCAAAAGCAAATTTCATAATTATTATAATTTCCCATGACACACTTATTTTGGTAGCTGAACAATGAAATGTCGACGTTGATTTAAAAATGTCAACAGGCACCTATAATGTGCTCATAATTTGTTTACATTGCTTAAAGGTGCGGATCTTAAGGTAAATTACATACACAGAATGAGCATTGGTGCGGAGACAGAGACATCTGGTGGTTAAAGTTTTCCTTTCCATTTTATTGGAAATATTGAGAACTAAATGCTGTATTTGTCTCCTCTTATCCAACATGCATGCTAGTCCTTCAGTTTTAAACGGTCTTGTCTCCTATTCCCCAGCCATCTTTTTTCTTCTCCCTCCACCTTTCCATCGCCTTGGGAAATGCTGAGACACTGCCCATTATTTTATTTTATTTTTCTAAAAATATTTTTAAATTGATTTTAGAAAGAGAGGAAGGGAGAGAGAGGGAGAAAGAAACATCAATGATAAGAGAGAATCATTGATCAGCTGCCTCCTGCACCCCCACTCCTGGGGATCGAGCCCGCAATCTGGGCATGTGCCCTGACCGGGAATGGAACCGTGACCTCCTGGTCCATAGGTTGACCCTCAACCACGGAGCCACACCAGCTGGGCCTGCCCATTATCTATCCCCTCCATTTCACAGATGAGGAAACAGAGGCTCAGAGAGCTGCCGCCGCTGGGAAAGAGGCCACGGGCTGGAGGGGCAGGACTGTAAAGCCCTAGGCCTCTCAGCTACACCCTGAGGCCACGTCCTTGGTGTGACTCCCAAGCTGTGCAGAATCACTGTGTAGAGTTACCTTGTCCCTTTTATTTCCAGCACTCACTTAGCACGTTATTCTGTGGAACACATAACCCAGCAGTGGTAAAGAATATAAGCTCAATTGTCCGGAAAATGTAACATTAGCCACAGGTCTGGCTGTCAGCAGTTAGTCTGCTGGTAGCAGCCACTCTCCTTGGTTCCAACAGTCCAGCTGTACGGGACTCTTACTCAAATGGCCTGTGCCTTTGTTAAAGCTCATCTTGGGAGCTTCGTTAATGTGCTGACCCCTCTGCCCTGGTTGCTACTCCCCGACGTTCCGGCCAGCCAATCCAACCTCCCCCTTCATACATCACTTGAAAGGTAATTTCAGAGGTTTCCTATGGCAGAGATTGCATTCATTCCCCACGATCTGCTTTCCCTTTCTCACCACGAATAGCACCCCTGATTTTAACTAGGAACAGGGCTCTGCAGAATAAAGACTACATTTTCCAGCCTCCCTTGCAGCTAGATGAGGTCATGTGACTTAGTTCTGGGAAGGAAAGTGTTGTGTGGCTCTTCCTGGGAATTTTCCTAAAGAGAGGCAGTGTGTATCCTTCCTTTCCTTCCCCCTTCTTTGTTCAGCTGAGTAGAAGAGATTACAGGAGGCCGAGAGAGGAACCACGGAGTGTACTTAAGAAGCTATTGGAATTGTCTAGGTTTTGTTGACAGAATAAGCTCCAGAGGGCACAGTTGGTTGTGTGTGTGTGTGTGTGTGTGTGTGTGTGTGGTGGGAGTGGGGAGGGGGGGTCCAGGAACAGGGAAGAGAATGAATTGGATTAGAGAGGGTAGATCAGATATTATTACACTTAAGGATTTCCAGTGTGAATGTTTTTCCTCTCTCATTAACTTCACAGAGATATTTATATCAATTTCCCCTAGCTCCCGAATGCTTTGAGAATGTGTTCCAGGGTATAAAGTAGACGGGTTGGAGACATATCAATATTCTCAGCCAGCGTGTTCATGGCAGAACTTAAAAAATTAATACACACAAGAATGATGCCCTGGCAATTTTCAGACATAAAGCTGTAGATGGCCCAAAGCTTCGAGAGAGACATAAACACCCAGGATTTCCGTATGTCAAGATCATTTTCTGGATGTCAAGGCAGTAACGTAACATTGTGCACCCGAGAACATAATGGATGCTCTGCTCTCGAATGTGCACACGTGTGGTTCTTGTTAGAGTCATCGAGCTGGCGGGGAGAGGTCAGGGGGTCAGGTGTGTTCCCTGCAGAGCAAACCTGTCACGGGAATGACCGACACCACCCACTGGGCTGCTTCGTCTCCACGTGGGCTCACGTACTTGGGCTCGTTCACGTTCAGGGCCCTCCCATCTGCAGTGATCAACATCCTGGGTGGTTTCACTTTCTTCTTCTTTTCGCTTAAGGTTGGGGGTGGGTGGGAACGAGGGGCAGAGGGAAGAGGGAAAAATAAACAGGAGGAATATACGTTACTGATCTGAGTAAGAGCTTAAGAAAAAGTAATCAGGTATGTGTGACAACATCCACACTTGGCTGCTAGGAAGTCCATTCTGTGCTGGAAATAGACCGCGGAGCCAGGCTTCCGTACGGTTGTATCTATGTCTGCAAAGCGAAAATGTGAGCAAGACGATTTGCCAGATAATTTAATGGGGGGAGGAATCCTTTTCATGCCATACCCATTAATATTCAAATAAGTCAATTTTATGCATGATTTACCCAGATCACTGTCAGTTCTCCATTTGTGTGTGCAGCTTCTGCTTTCGTTAAAATGACAATTTTTATAATGCCACATGGAATCCATTTTATAGAAAGAAAAATACCAGCACATAAGGACCCATGTAAAAGGTCTAATCATAGCACTGTCCGGAACTGCCCCAGCGCCCGCATGGAGGAGGGACGGGGCATCATGGTATAGTCATAGATATTCTGTAGCTGAGAAAACATGTGCTTGCTCTTCACCTACTGATGTAAAAAGTGACAGAAAGTATTGATGATGGCCCCAGGTGGTGTGGCTCAGTGGATAGAGTGTTGGCCTGCAGACTGAAGGGTTCCAGTCAAGGGCACATGCCCAGGTTGCGGGCTTGATCCCCAGTAGGGGGTGTGCAGGGGGCAGCCAATCAATGATCAAATGGACAAATTTGTTTAGATGACAAAATTGGAGGTAATTCCTTGCCTCGGTTTGTATTGTTCTTTTTTTTAAATTTTATTTTTCAATTCCTGTTTATATTCAATATTATTTTGTTAGATTCAGGCGTTCAGCATAGTGGTCAGACAATCATATATTTTACAGAGTGATCCCCCTGGTATTTCCAGCACCCACCTGGCACTGAACATAGTTCTTACAATATTATTGACTAGATTCCCTATTGTTCTTTTGATATTTATGTCAGTTAACTTTATTTTAAAATATAAATGTATTTACACTTTCCTGCCTCTTAAACTGGGCCCCCAGGTCCAATAAATTAATGTTCCTTCGAACATTATTTTTCATGAGCAGGACGATGAAGGGGCATCCAGAACATCTGTTCAGGTAGAATGCAGAGCACTGAGCAGCGGCCGCGTCTTCACCCAAGTCAGCCATGCTCTCTGAGGCTGTCAGGGAAGGAAAAATGCATCCTGCTTTCAGGCCCAATGAAATGTAATGTCTATATACAGGTTATTCCCCCCAAAATATATATACACTTTCATAGCTGATAGCTGTAGATTCTATGACATTTGGAAAATGAAATGTATTCTACCTTTATAATTATTCAAAGTGGACACATATTTGGGGGGACACCCTGTATATATATACATTTATATACATATATAAACGTATACAAGTATATTGTGTGTGTGTGTATATATGTGTGTGTGTGTGTGTGTGTGTGTGTGTATACACACACACACACACACACACACATATAGTTGGGTGCATATACATCAGAAATAGTACTTGTTATGTGTGTGTGTGTGTGTGTGTGTGTGTATACACACACACACACACACACACACATATAGTTGGGTGCATATACATCAGAAATACTGTACTTGTTAAGTAAACATAGAATTTCCATTTTGAAGAGTTCATGAGCCTGCAAAGCACTTTTACATTTATTGGCCCATTTGATTCTCTTAACAATACAGTGGGGCAGGGAAGGTGGGTGTGTGGTCCGTTTAACTGAGGAGGAAACCGAGGAGGAGAAGCTACCCAGCATGAGTGGCAGAGCTGCAATAGGAATCCACACTTTCTGATGTCATCCAATGCTCTTCCCAAATCACCAAGTTGTACAGACAAGTATTTTAACGAAATTTCTCATGTTTGTACCCGGCTATCTACCTAATTCATGAGGAAAATGTGATGAAAGCAGCACTTGCTTTGCTCCTCTTTGGCTTCTCACTGCATTTCAGAGCTGACTGACTGCATCCCCAGCTCCCGAATCAGAAGCGTTCCCACGGGTGACACAGTTTGCACGCTGGACTTAAGCAGGGCATGAACTGGAAAAGCACGGAGCCTGTCTTTCAAAAAATCCTACTCTGGAAATAACAGCTTGTGTGTTCTAGCTTTTGACAATTACACATAAATAACGTGAAAGTGAAAGCATACCGTTAAATGTCCAAGAGAGCTGCAGTAGGATACTACAGCACCTAATGAAATTAATTTCTAATTATTGATTTTGCAAATGCAAATACACAAAGGAACTCATTCATCTGACAAAGTGGTCTTTCTCTCGGTGTTCATGATGACTATTACTACTAACCCAGGCCCTACTAATACTCGACATGTTTGAAGAACTAAAGACATCCAAACGAAACTCTACCGAAAATGCCATAACTCATGACCTTTTAAAGGTCATTTGATATTAATAAATATTAGAGAATACAATTCAACAAAACACTGAACTTAAAAAAAGCACAGTTTATGTGTGATGGCTAAGGAAGGTTGACCACAGATAATGAGTGAAAGAAAGAGCAACCATGAAAACAGAGTCCGTGTGAGAGTGTAACCTTCCTCTCAATGATGAAAGAAACGAAATACCTTGATTTTTCTTTGTCTTTTCGTTGCTTTTCCATATGTCTAAGAGTTTCCAATCTAGACTCAGGAGTAAACGAACAGGGCTTATTCCAGAACTCCAGGTCATCTTCCACGCCGTCTACTTTCTTCTTGCTGGGTTCCCCTTCCTGTACTTCCAGTGCTGGGGGGTGGTCTCTGCTCCCCACAGAAGGTGGGCTAGGAGGGAACAGAAAGACACAGAGCACGTGAGAGCACAGGTGGACATGCGGGCTTCATCCTTAACGCTGCTCCTTACGTATCTTATTCATTTTTCTCGTGTTACCTTCTCGACAGAACGTGTCTGAATGAGAGCTTATCCCAGCCACATTGGAGGGAACACCGGCCCAGCGCGGGCGGGCCCTCTCGGCTGGCGGCTGTCACCAGGAGGAATATGGCAGGAATCAGACTGGAGGGATCACACACCCGCTGAGGGGAGTGACCTGGGAGCCTTATAAACGGTACCGATTCCTGGGCTCTCGCAAGAGAGTCTGACTCAGCAGCTTTGGGTGAGGCCCAGGAATCTGTCTTTTATAATATTTGGCAGGAGGTTCTGATCATCGGGCGACCTCAGGGCTACTGAGCCTTAGCCCTGGAGGAGGGACAGGGAGAAGAGGGCAGGCGCTTCCTGTGAAAACGATGCTGTTACTCCCAGTCACGGGCTTTCTATTTGCGAGCCCATTGGTTGGCTCTCGGAGACAGTACCAGAGCCTCCAGGTACTGCGGTGGCTGCCAGAGCCACCAGTGTAACAACAAACTCTTCAAATGAATCGTCTGGGATGCAGGTGACACGCGTGGACCCCTTGGGAAGAGAACACGGTTGGCGGCTTTTAACAGGAGTCAAGGGGAAGATGAACTCTCGTGATTTACATACGGATCCGCAGCGAAGTCTGCGTCCCAGCGTCCGTCCGAGCCCGGGCGGCCTTCCTTCTCTCCGCGCTCCTGCTCTTCTCGAAGTTTCCTCTGGGCCTCGCTCTTGTCTCGGGCTCGTCTGAGGCAGTAGGCTTTCTCCTGCTCTCTGACTTGTCGCTCAACTTCAGGGAAGTCCTGCAGTGCCTGGATCCTTTCGGAACGTTCTATTTCTTTCCCGTCCAGCCACTGGAATAAAGAACAGCCGACACGGAGCATTATCCCAGAGCCGCCATCTGAATCAGCCCCAGCCGGCTCTGACGGGGAGATTTTAAACTTAGAGACAATGAACTGCACCCGGGTGAGGGGGAAACATCAGAAACTCTGATCTCCGTCCATGTTGGTTTCATATGATCAACACTATCCCTTTCAAGTCGATCGCAGCTTTCAGCGAAATAAATGGTGATTAAGATCCTCAAGTGGCCGGCCAGTGTGGCTCAGTGGTTGAGCATCGACTTAGGAACCAGGAGGTCGTGGTTCTATTCCTGGTCAGGGCACATGCCCGGGTGTGGGCTCGATCCCCAATAGGGGGCGTGGAGGAGGCAACTGATCGATGTTTCTATCTCTCTCTCCATCTCCCTTCCTCTCTCTCTCAAATTAGTAAAAATGCATTTTTTTTTAAAAAAAGATCAAGTTAACCAGCCTATTTTTAAGTCCTAGGAAACCGTTATGAATGCTATTTTCAGAGAGAGGCTGTCGCCTGGTGTAACCGCCGCTCACAGCGGCCTTTCCGGGAGGAAGGACTTGCTCCGAAGCCCGCACATCAGCCGAGGGAGGCAGTGAGAGGGGCTGCAGTGTGAATGGTGGGCCGTCGGGTTCAAATCGCGCCCGAGCCCCGTGCCCGGAGCCCCGTGTGTGGCTTCCACAGGAGCACCAGCCGTCCGAGGCCCGACTTCCTACCCCGCGTGCACTCACCATCTCCTTGCTGGGGTCCAGGGGGATCTGAGAAGCGGAGCCTAAAGCACCTGGAGCAGCCGGGGCCTAGGTCTGGGGCACCCACCTGATGGCGCTCACCCTTCCAGCGGGTCCCTGGCCGCACAGAGCAGGCTCAGCTGGGATGCCCGCACCTTCCCGGGGACGTGGCTCCCAGGTGATGCCACAGGACCCATCCCTTGATCACGCTGCTCCCAAGGGTGTGTTCTCTCAGAGTCTCTGGACAATGACCATCAGCCAATGTCTCATTTATTCTAAACATTCCAGATTCAATGACTCAAGTCACTCGTTCTTGTCCTCAAGGAAATTCTCCATGAGACATGTGTCCTGTTAACCCAGAATTCTCAGCCCAACGCCTTTACCGGCTCGGTAAGTCAGGAACTGGTTTTGGTTTTCTGGGATGTGTCTTTCTCTGAGGCGGGAGAACTGTAGAGGCTCGTTTGCATGTTCTCTGCGATGTCTGCATCCCGGCGCCAGCGTACCTTTAACTGCCGGAGCGTCGCCACCACGAACTGCCGGTAGCCGTTGAAGTCGGCGCACGGGTTCCCCACGAGAAAGAGCTCCCGCAGGTGGATGTTGCCCCGGAGGGTCTCCACGCTGCTCAGCTCCCCGATGAAATTTACTGTCAGGTCAAGTTTCGTCAGCCCCTCACATCCTGGTGAGAGAAATGAAAGCAAAGAGGTACATCGCATCGGTGATAAAATGTGAGGGCCATCACCGTGAGCTGCCGGTGACAGTTCGCACAAGTAGCAGCAGCCACAGTGGAGGAGGTCTGCTGGTGAATCGCACTGTTGCCCAGATCCCACCCCGTCACAGCCTCGCACTGAGACCTTGGGAAGTTACCAGCCTCGGCTTTCTCATGTGTAGAATGGCGTTGGTACCCAGGGCAGAGGTTGTTGGGAAGACAGTATGAAATGATTCATGTGTATTCAAAACCCCAGGTACCATAGCTCAGGTCTCATTGCGATATCCCACATGTGAGAGAAAATAGAAGCAGGGTGGGGAGAAGGGACGGAGAACCCTGGGGGTGGGGTGAGAGCGAAGCCTGCGTCTTCCTCAACAGGACGCCAAAGGATGAGGCCCCCAATGAGAACAGCGAGGGCTGCAGATACCGCACAGTCCGAGCACACTGTCTGCAACCGTGCCAGAGCAGAGGGGAGCTGAGGCTAGTCACCCCCAGGAGCAGGGCTCAGGGGTCTGAGGGCAAAATAAAGACCCACCTTTTCCAACAAAAATATAGAGAGCGCTTCGCTTTGACTTTTTATTCTGTGAATTTATTGCTACAGTAAACACATTAATCAGTAAAAAGATGACTCTACAAAATGCACAAAAACAGCCCTAACCGGTTTGGCTCAGTGGATAGAGTGTCGGCCTGCAGACCAAAGGGTCCCGGGTTCGATTCTGGTCGGGCACGTACTGGGCCCCGGTCGGGCAGGGCATGTGCAGGAGGCAACCAATCGATGTGATTCTCTCACATCGCTGTTTCTCTCTGTCTTTCCCTCTCTCTTCCACTCTCTCTAGAATATATCCTCGGTGAGGATTAAAAACAAAAACAAAATGTACAAGAACAAATAAACACTGTTATATAGTCTAGATTCTGCTACACAATTCATGACGTCACATCTTCAAAAGCAATCATATATATGAAAAAGGACAACAAAGCCATCATTTCTATTAAACTAGCAACAATAGAGACAAAATTTTAAATACGATTGTGAAGCTTATAAGACTATAATGATACTTTCCAGCTTTCAATCTGAGAATATATAATAGAGGCTTCTAAATGTTTTCCCGTGGGTCCAGAATTTCACTTGGATACATCAACTGAGAACAGGTGATTGTACAAAGCTGATCAGAACAGCCCTGTTCACCATGGCAAACATAATTAAAAACACCTCAGGCACCACACAGTAAGGAGTATTTGAAACACGTCAATATGCTTGGTAATTCAGTCATTAAATTATAAAACTGTGGGCTCGGCCACTTAGATGAAGAGTGAACACAAAACTGCACGTGTCTATACATACAATTAAGGTTGCGTCTCCACGCCTGCATGTTTGTTCTGCGTTGGGAAGAAATGTCAGATGGCGTTTATGAAACGTGGGAGACACATTTGGGGCAATCTAACTTCAGACCCAGGTTCCCGGTATTTCCCAGTTACTCTGACAGATTCTGGGAGCCATTTCCATGCTGTGTCTCTCTCATGTAAGAGCAGCCTGACGGTTGAAAGACTCCAACGGGTTTAAGAATTCATATGTTGTTGGGTTTCGCTGTAGAGTTGCAGATGAAGGACCCTCCACATGGCCATCATATTGTTCAGAGTGGTGGAGTCTTCATTTTCCTTCTGCTCAGCCCACACATTGGAAATCCAGCCACATTTGCCATCTTACAGAATGAGTCCTGCTGTACGAGCCAGGCTTGAGAATGCCTCCTCATTGGAGTTAGCGCTCCTTTCCTTCGCCGAGTCCCACCCTGCTCTCCGGCTCTGCAATGACCCACAGGGGTCTGAAGGTCACTGAAATCAACCACGCTGACTCCCCAAGGGCAAAAGCTTGGACTGTTAGGAACCCCCCCTCCAGGTCAGGGTGGGTGAGGAGGAGGGATGGAAAAAGAAGGTACTTTATTCTATCCCAGGGATTCCACAACAGGGAAAAAGGAAAAAAGGATGCTAGCTATTTTTTCCCAGTCCAGCAAAACAAATAGAAATGCAACTTGTGTTTAAAATTATATTCAGATTTACTCAAGTGGGTGGGCTGAGTGCGTATATGCATCTTCCTCCTCTCTCACCTTTAAAATGAAATTAAAAGTGCATACTTGCCAGCAGACAAGCCGCCCATCCCTCCATACATATCCTCAAACCACCCTGGCCCAGTGCATCCTATCAGAGCGGGGAGGGGGGCCCCACAGGAAGAGGCATCCAGGTAACAGGCCCCAGGTGGACCCTGGTTCCCAAAGCCCCAAATGACAACAGTGACGACGCTGCCCTCCAGTGGTGGATGACCAGCCATGCAGCAAAAATGGAATTGTCCATGTCCTTTCAGATCCTTTCCTAAAAATAAGGAGCCGTGGCCACGCCCACTGAGAGTGAGCGTTTTAATGAGTCCTCTGAAAGCTTAGATGGATTTTTACAAAACATGGACCCTGATGATGTGTCATGCCTTTGGCTCACAGGGGACACGGTCACAGGGCCGCAGAGTGGTACCTGGGAGAGCAATGACTCCGTTTCTGCTGCAGAAAAACGCCGGACACAGGAAGGACCATGTCAAGGCCAGCACTGATCTGGCCTTGGGTCTTCGGTAGCGATGGCATTCTAGGCTTTGAGGATGAAATCTTAAATGCATGATGAATAAGTATGTCAACGTCCGCACCAGGAGGTGAAGAGGCTAAACACGACCATCACTTAAGTAATATCCCCCTAATGTTAGCTCCTGGCAGATGGGAGTGGGCGTGCCTGCCGCTGCACTTGCCCCTGCCCACTCCCACAGCCCGCAGCAGCCCCGCCAGCCAGACCAGAGGCTGGACCTGGGATCCCAACCTCACAAGGGCAGAGGGGCCCACGCCAGCCACCGAGTCAACCAAATCCTTTCAGATGATTAACAGACACTTAGGGGGAAAAAACCAAACAGTGCAAAACAGCAGCCTGCAGAGTAAAACAGGAAACCTTCCCTTGCAGCACAAGACAAGCAGGTTAAATAAGGACTGCAGTTAAAAGGCATGGAGGATCGAGCTAGTGCAACCAAAACATATTTAAAAGACGTTTGAGGGGAGAGCAGATAATACAGAGGTGATGGGTATGTCTATTACCTTTGATTGTGGTGATGGTCTCACATGTGTGTGCATATGTCCAAAGCCATCAAATTGCATGCCTTAAACATGTGCAGGTTTTTGCGGGTCAATTATTCCTCAATAAAGTTATAGGTCAAAAAGAGTAATTGTGCTCTAAAGGATGCCATCAAGAAAGCTGACAAGAAACCCCACAAAATGGGAGGATATAGTGTTTAAGCAATACTGTTTAAATCGAATCTTGAGTCTCCATTTTAATTCGCAAAAATAAGATGAAAAGTCTCACCTTCCAGATTTTCAATTTTTTCAATGTTGTTTAAAGCTAAATTCAAATATTCGAGTTTCTTGAGTTTGCTGACATTTTCTGAAATACACAAAGAATGTAATTAACCTTCAAGATCAAAGACATATTTGTATAATCTATTGTGAAGATGGTAAAGAGAATCGAAGAATTATTATAGCTATCAAAACCATGTCGGTCTTTCAGATCCACACCTGTACCCCACACACTGTGGGTTGGCAACGCAACATCCGTTTCTCCCTCCATCCTTTCTCATGGAAGCCAGCTCTGCTCACGTCTCTACCCAACTCCAGGGGTTAGGCTTAGCCTAACTGGGCCGGTGCATGGCAACCCCACGTCCCATGCTAGTGACGGCTCAGGGTCCCGGGTGTAAGTCAACCAGCCCATGGCAGCCTCCTGGCAACGGCGTGATGCGGGGAAGGGCACGCAGGCCAAGCGCTCCCGGCCAGATGAAGGGGAAGCTCTGTAATCCATGCTTGGGGAGTTCCTTTCCCTTTTTCTGCTGGATGTTTACAAAGGAGGAAGCGTGATCCTCTATTGACACTCAAGTCAGCTTGCAACCAGGAGGGTCCGAGGTCCAGGACGAAGCCCACTGTGGCTGCTGGAGCAGAGAGGAGTCAGCCAACCCCAAGGTGGAGCCTGCCTACCTCTAGACGCATCGCCTGGCCCGACACTAGGTCTCCTTACTGGAAAGCCAGACCGAGTTGGATCTTCCTTTACTTGGAGCCCAAGTAACCCTGACACAGGACCATCGCTTTTAATGAACATGAAAGCCTATGTAGCCCGGCCTGTGTGGACTCAGTGATTGAGAGACAACCTATGAACCAGGGGGTCACAGTTCAATTCCTGGTCAGGGCATGTGCCTGGGTTGCAGGGTTGGTCCCCAGGAGGGGGCGTGCAGGAGGTGGCTGATCCATGGTTCTCTCTCATCACTGATGTTTCTCTCTCTCTCTCCCTTTCCTCTCCTCTCTGAAATAAAAAAAAAAAAAAATATTTTAAAGAAAAGGAAAGAAAGAAAGCCTACGTGGGCAAAGCAACCACCATGAGTAAGTCAAGAAGTCAGTGGCCTTTGCAAGCAGCTAATACCACCAGGGCTAACATTGCTGAGTGCACCTACACGCCACGGATTTTCTCAGCATGCTGCATACCTGCCGCTAATCCTCAAAACGACCCTGCATGGTGAAAACCCTGGCATCCTCGCCCTTTCTCCAGGAGAATACCCAGGCGTGAAGCCTCAACCCACGGGTCCAGGGTCAAGCGGCAGAGCCAGGAAATCTGACTCCAGAGCGTGGGGGCGAGTCACTGCGCTCACTGCGCCTTGAAAGAACAGTCCTTCCTCAGACCCCACGGATGTGAAACCCATCCCCGCCCCCCCGGAGAAGGGTGTGGCTGGGCAGCCCCGCTGAGGGACTGCTTCCCCCGCCTGGGTTTCAGGGGCAGTAGGAGATCAAATGTGATGACTTACAACCATCACCCTTGTTGCCCCGTTTCATTTTAACATTTACGAAATATCATATATGTTATCACAGACCCAAGGATAGCAGTTTCCATCTCTAAGCCTCAGCTGACTCATTTTTCAAAATGAGAACTTCAAAAAAAATTACTCAAGTGCTCTCAGCAGTTCTGGTACCCTAAGCGGTACCAAGGCTTGGCAAAGGCACTCCAGGTGACGCCCGAGCATTTGAGACTCAAAGGACATGCGGAGCGCCATGTGACAAGGGTTCGACAGATAAGAGTGTCTGCTCTGCATCCCGAACAGAAACACCTGAAGTTAACACATAGCATCGCCAGCCGGCAATCAAATACCTCCTCCTCCCACACGTGTTATATGCATTACCTCTTCAATACTAAAAGAGTCATCGGGCAGAGAAAACATAGGTCAGATGTTGTGGGGAAAGATGTGCTGAATGAACTCAG